CAGTGCGCTTTTTGGAGAATGAAGCATTTAGCAGAAATCAATACTTTTGAGTCGTTCAATAGCCTCTTCGGGTTGAAACTTTATTAAGTCGTATAGAACGACAGATGCTCATCAAATTTCATAATTTTCGCTATTTCTACAAACTCCTCGTCTTCGTGCCAATTTTCGTCGAGATCTGAAGACTTTTGCAGACATCTAAGCTTGATAAAAAACATCATTATCATCGTGGCATCGAGAAGCTTGAGAACCTGAAGAAGATAACGCGTTAGTTTCAATTTGTACCGAGGCAAAGTTTCACCGAATTGACATTGGAAAATAACTTGCGCTGATGTAAGATGCATCTAGAAACTCGAAGCTAAATTTATATGCACCGTTATCCAAGAGAAAATCAACGGTAGCCGGCATAAGTTCTCGTAAGCCTCGGACGATGATTTACGCGTGCTCTGAGGCTTTTCAGTTTTTCGCTCCCTAGGCACGTAATATAATATCACGCGAAGCATTGAAATCCAACTTGACCATGTTACGATAAATAATCGAGCATCGAACATCACTATTGCTTCATAACCTGACTCTGATACGACTTTGAACGGTTTTAGCAGAATCGAATTAATCAACGTGCAGAAATATACACTCATGACTGTACTGGTCATTTTGGCATTGCTGCTGCAGACCGACGGCTTACGGCGCGTGTCAAGCTGGCTGCGCTGCCGCGATCATCCGGCCGTTTTCCTTGACGATAAGAGAAAGAGAATGTTTCTCAAGTTAGTTGACAAAAATAGAGGGAGAATCATACTCCAGGTAAAGAAAATCTCGATAATGAATTAATTAATTAACAAGAGAGTTCACTAGCATCAACTACGCTTCGAACAATACAAGGAGATTGTTGAGTTTTACGAGTTTGAGCTTTCGAATGGTATACCCGATAAAAGATCATGTGCCAGATGTACATAATATAGACTTGTACATACGCGTGAAATCATATTGCAGCAGCACATACTTAATACCGACCGAATAATATATACGAGACGCCTTTCCATTTTTAACACGGATGGTCGCATACGTATGTTTTGTCCCGTTTCCGCCCACATTACAATGCACACTAGCGACCGCTTCTAACCTGACACGCCATCGACACTTTCTAATCGTCTTGCTTCTGGCCATGTGTTTTTTTAACTTTCCATGTAGACCTTAGTGTACGCACGATAGTCCAGTACACGTTACGACGCCGCAGCGTACAGAACGATCGCATCGACTGCAGAGAGTGAAAAAAAGTATAATAAATTATAAGTGATTGTGTGTCGTGTATGTGAGTGCGCAAAATGGATCGATTAAAAAAATTAAAGTTATTGCGAGAAAGATTCAATTTGCAGATCGAGGACGAGCGACATGAATTTATTCGTCATCTTCATCCTCTTGTCCGTAATTGGATTGAAGCAGTCCCGAATCACCGAGACATCTTTCGCGAAGGAGACATCGAGAGTCTTCTAAACGTTATTTACACGGAGAAAGGCGATCGTGTGCTGTACGATGGTCAAAAAAGTGAATTGATCGAGTTCTTGGTTCGCACCGGCTACAAGGACGAGCCCAAAGTCGGCGAAGACGGCAAGCCACTGTTGCGTCGTACCACTGTGATTCATCGAGCGGCTCGAAACGGTCAACCCGTCTACCCTATCTGCATCCTATTCCAGATTTTTAACAGACTCGACGCGAATCACGTCGACGAGGATGGTATGACTCATTTTCACATAGCCTGTCGGTACGGCTGCAATGATATCGTCGAGAAATTCCTCGATCTCGGCCAGGTAGATCCCAATACGTGTCCCGTGTCAACTAATGGCAACTCGCCGCTGCACTTAGCTCTGGAATACTGTGGAAATTTCGAGGTGGCCGCATTGTTGCTGAGCAGAGGCGCGGATCCGAACTCGACCAATCTCGAGGGATCGACGCCTCTTCACTTCGTAAGCAACAATTTCATCGATTACTCGCTGAAGCAATTCTTTCGGATCGTCGACGAATTGAATCTGTCGGTGCACATTGACGCCCGGGATAAGCTGGGTCGGACGCCGCTGCACTTGGCTATGCATCATGGAAAAAAGAAGAAAGTCGAATCGTTGCTGAGAAGAGGCGCCAATCCAAATTTGGCAGACTCGCGTGGATTCACTCCTCTGCACGAAGTTTGCGCGAAGGGGGACCGTGATCGTATTGACTTGATGAAACTATTCTTCGAGGTCAACAACGAGTTGAATCAGTCGGTGGAGGTCGACGCCCGGGACAGGTTGGGTCGGACACCTCTGCATTACGCTGTGGCATGTCTTTTTCCGCATATTGTCGATGAACTCTTGGATCGTGGCGCTGATCCGTTTGGTTTCGCTTTTCCTGCCGAGGAGGACTTTGACCGGTTCCATAAAATTCCGAGCAAGCGCAACCAACGCTTCAAGTATAATCTGGTGTCCAAAGCCCTGGCAGTTATCGATGTCCTAGAGAAAAAGAGACGCGAGCTTTACCGAAGCGAAGCACTGATCGTCATGAAATTTTTCACTAAGCGTGGATTAATCGAGAAATCGGGACACCTCGAACCCAATTGGTACGAGAACGAGGAGTTTGCGAGCAAAGCGAAAGAGTTCATGGTAAAAGCGGACTTGTCGCTCTACGATCTGATGCGGTTGCGACCTCGAGAGGTAGAGAAGCTATGCTCGTATACGGACAAATTGGAATTCGAGTTTACCATGCTGGAAACACTAGAGATCAAGAAATGGTGGATTCGATTACCTGTAGAATCGCAAGAGGCTTGCGCTATGCATCTGTGCGAAAAAATGTCCAGGAGATTTTTCCGGGACTGGGCCCTGGAGCCATTCTTGGTGCTGATTCATTACCGACTGCCGCTTCTGTGCTGCGAAATGATCATCTATAATTTGACGAACCAAGACTTGTGCAATATTTGTTTGGTCTTCGGTCAAAACTCGTGATCGTATGTTCGTAAAGGGCCGTCATTGCTTCATTGGTAACCCTGTAACAGCTATTCCAACTCTTCGTTACTGTTAATGTTATGATTAAAATAAACAAATAAATAAATAAATAAAAAGTAAAAAACACTTGTTGCTTTTAATTGAATAATTAAATGATTTCCAACGTTGGCTTTTTTCGACAGAAAAAATATGGTCATTACCGCTTACGTCTTTATCAAAATTTTTCGCTCGGCCCATCTTAGCTCCGAACAAGACGTTGAAAAAAAATTTTGGGCTTATCCTTGGATGGGCCGAAAAGAGTGAAAAAAATAATGATAGTTGATATCAAGATAAACTCAATTATTTTGGCACATTTTCAAATGAAATTTTATTAAAACATGTACTTGAACATTCATGTATGTTTTCATACATATTTACAATTTTCAAGAGAAGAATCAGTTGTAATTATTTCACTGATGAGATATACGCATACAATGTCAACGACGTGCTCGCCCCCGTCTATAGCAGCGGCTACAAAGTTTGCACGTCGTACGAATTTCGCGCTGTCGTGCTCTATTACGAAGTCGCCCGAAGCGCCGCCACTCGAATGACCTATGAATGTTATAACGCAGAAAAATTAATAAAAGTAACCATCGAAGCACCGTACAAGCCGCGCCGAAATCGATAAATTACCTCGTTTAATTGTTTAGCCGCGTCAGGAGCGCATTAATCGATTTGGTGCGCGTTGCGATGCATCGTAGACAGGAAACAAAAACGAGGACAAGATGAGCGAAGAGCTTCGGACTGGCGTTGAAAATGTAAACGCGTGTAAAATTTTGGAACAGCATCGGGTGTGTAACGCGATTTTTGTCTACGATTTGATTAATCACTTGGAGCTTGGCACGCTCGTCGGATCAACGAGCGAGTTTTGACACACCGGGACGAAGAAAAGTAAGACATACCGTCGCGAACGCCAAGATTTTATATCTTTATCTTGCGTAGATGATTATAATTTTGAAACTTCTTGAAGCAGCGTCTCGAGCAGTCTTGTAGTCTCCCCCCAATAAGCCTACCGCAGTAGTGATTGATGCGGCGGAGTATCGAGCATGATTAGGAGCTTTTTTATGTTTCTGAGGCTTGTTTACATGACGATTAGATTAACGTACGCGAGTAAGAGAGACAGAAGAAGTTCATTTCACTTGTGCCACTGCGTGGCCAAAAATAAAATCGAAGCTTTATGTGACACGCGATAACGATTATATGGAGTCGCGGGCCACCGAGAGCAAAGGCGACGATTATAATACGCCGAAAAACCTAGGCCGTGATTTTTGATAAACGATTATTTTTAGACTATTTTTATGCACCAGACGAATCTTGAACTCCAACGCTCGTATATTAAGTACTTATATACAGCGAGAGATATATTATCTAATGTCTTTTTTCGTCTTGAATTCGATAAAGTTCAGATTTTTGAGACGCAAATTTTTCCTTAAGTAATCTAAGAAATAATTGACGAAAATAAAATTTAGTCTCATAAATTTAGGATTGAATTCGCGTAATTTTAATAAAACGAATTCTTCGATGCTTCGATCAAACTATTTGCCAATTCAAATTAACTCGAATAAAACAAACTATCGATATAAGAAAATTGAATAAGCGAGAGAGACAGAGATACGAAGTGCAAATCCGTATGCACCGCTAGATGCCGCCGCCCGTATAAGCCTATGGGTACAGTCGCGCGCGCGTGAAAATGTGTATATAATACACGGACACACACAGACACCTATTTATGTACGTGTATACACTGCGAACAAGGGTCGGTGCATATATATACATATAGCTATAGTCATACACTTGTATAGTAGTAGGTAATGGTATATGTATAGGGAAGGAGAGTTCGGAGTCGAGCGGAGCGCGCGAGGAGTAGGGATGGAGTCGCCGAGCGCGGAGAAAAAGGACGGAGCGATTCTCGCTGCTGCTGCTGCTGCTGCTGCGCTGCGCCTCGCCGCCGGCAATCTGCGACACGGGAGTCAGTTTGTGCTACGGCGCCGCACGCGGAGCATCGTACCCCGTGTGTATGTGTGTGTTTCTCTCTGTCAGTCTCTGATCTCTGCGCTGCTGCTGCGACTCCGCGCGCGCCAATCTTTAGTCTCTCTTGTCTAATCTACCGCCTATACTGCCTCTCTGTTTTCGTTTTATGCCCATTGTACACGATTCGCGTCGTTGTCGCTGCAGTGCATCGTATTGTTATGAAGAAATAATAATAATAATCAATACACGATCGCGACGATCGAACGTTACATGGAGAAAATTTGAATGAAAAAGGTTCGTTAGCTGCAGCGACCAAAAATAAAAGAGAATCGCATCGAACGCATATCGTCCCTGCATTAGTTTTTTTACAGCTGATGTACGTTACAAAATAGTGCGTCGAATTTCTCCGCTATTTCGATCATTAAATACGAAATAAGGAGTCGAAGGAGAGAAATCAGTGTTTTTGTTTTTGTTCTCGTTCGGAGTAAAAAAGATGTTCTGTATATGAAGTGCGCGAGTGTTGCATGACACAGAGAGGAAGAAGCGCTTGCAATCAGTGCGTGTGATACACGAAATATTTTTGTCGAATCTGTATAATAATAATAATAAAGAAAAAAATCAACAGTGCTCTGTTCCTTTTTTGTTGTTCGTTGTATTGTTCGTGTTCGTGTATCTCGGTCCTAGACGACTACTACTGCTGCTGCTGCATCCAACAGTGCAGGAAAAGCCGTAAATCGGAACGTGCAAAGTGTGTTGTTATCTTTTCTCTGCTGCTGTTGCGGTGAATTGATGCACGCGAGCTGCTCGTAACCGCCGCCGCCGCCGCCGCTGCACACAACGCATTCGACGTTATAACTCATCGTCGTTTTTCATCGCTGAACTGCACTGATCTATCTTCTATCTCTCTCTTCAAACGGCGCATCGCATCGCTAAACGCATCGACGAGCTTCCATCAAAAGGTGAGCACGTTCGAAAATTCGCTCTACGCCGCTTTACCTCGTACAGTATTCGAATTTCGCGAGGAGTTTCGAATTCGGCCGTTGACGCTGCATTCCCCGAAGGAACAAGGCGCGCGACGATCACGAGCGTCTCTGGCTCGAGTAATTATATCGTCGCCGTTGTACGTGACCGAAAGAGTTGGGAGCTATTTTTCCTTCCTCGCTGTGTTTTTTCGCTTCATTCTAATTCGCCTCGTTCGGTAGTCGTGGTGCTCATGCTGCTGCACATTATATACCTCGGCTCGAAGTCGCGCAGAGACGCACACGTATTTATACACGAAAAAAAAAAAACGTGGGATTGTTATCGTTATAGTCGAGGTTTGTTTGTGTACGTGTGTATAATGCGACGAGCGGGTGTATAGCTGTCTACTTTTTTTTTGTCGAACGACGACGATTCGCAGACGACTCGAGTCTGTTACTATACTACTGCTGCCGTGCCCCGTTCCATATCCATCGCGCGGATCGTATTTTTTTATTATGACACGCGTGTCAGCGAGTCGGGTAAAGGCTTGAGAAACTCGCGCAGACGTTCGCACGGCTCTTGACGCTCTTTCTCTGTATGTCTCGAAATGATGAATCAATTCGATCGATTATCTTCTCGCGATGGCGCACTCACGCTTATCGTCCATTGTCTTTATTAACAAAAAAAAGTTATAATCAGTGTAGCATCTTCGCGACGGAACAAACACACGAGCCGCGATAACAAGCGCCGGCTCTATAGTGTATTTCAGTGTAGAGACGGCCATTGCCTCTTTGACATCCGATGAAAACGAACTGCAATATATAGCCGACTCGAAGCTCGGTAATATCTTCTTCATAATGTATATGGTGTCTTAGCCGATCGAATCTCGACGTGTGCACTTGCAGCCTTAGTGAGAGTGCGAACTTCGGAGCTAGCCAAAGTGTCGTCGTTGTCGGTGTCTCTCGTATAGATACGTGTACTCGATCGCGCGGATCGTGTGTCCGACCGATACTTATAGGCGTCGTGCTGCAACATTCGCGCTTCTCTCGATGTGTGTGTATGATATAATGTGTGCGAGTGTCACATCGCGCCTCCTTCGAGCTAAGTATCGTTTACGTTTTAATGAGTTGCGCAAAACTGTTACACATTATACGCGCCGCGAAGAGCACGTATTCGGAAGCCCTCCTTCCAACAAAAAAGAAAGGAAGAAGCTAAGAGTCGAAATTATATCCAATTCGACTTCTCACACCTCTTTGAATCTCAAATTACCCGTGTAAAAAGCAGTAGCAAAAGTCGTGTCGCACCTTCTTATAAGCTCTCTCTCTCGCACTCAATGACGACGATCGCGATGATGGTTCAGTGAGTGCATCAACGCGATAAATCTACGCAGACAGCATCGTCGTGTTTAGTACAGAAGGCTCGAGGCTCTAAGTACTGTATAGAAAGAAGAAAAATCCATATCCTCTCTGGAGAATATTATGTATATAGTCCAGCCTACGGTGTACGCGGCCTTTCGCTCGAATTCACCCTTGAACGCGTTCACAATATATACGCAGGTATATATACATAGCACTGTACGAGCCTTTTCTTCCCGATCGATCCGTGCGCGAGGCTTGGAATCAGTGTTGGAGTCCGTACGCGTAGTACAGAGGGTACACACGCACACGCACGTACGTATTTCTAAGGTGTACGCGGCAAACACGCGCCGGAATAATATACGAAACTATATATACACGCGGAGAAGGGTGCTACAATACGTACGTAACCCAGGTGAAAATGCAACCGTTTCGATTTTTTCTCTCTTCTGCTTTCGTACATTTCGTACAACGCCGAGAAGAAAACAGGTCGCGAGCGAAGAGGGGAGAGAGAGAAAAGATGACGATTAATCCAGCGAGCACGGGGTTAGATCACGTACCTCTAGGTGTTTTCTGCCCCGGCGAGAGAAATATGCTTCTTCTTTTTCTTTTTTTTTTTACGTACACCGGCGTGTATTGTGTACGTGATACAATGTTCGCCGTCCTGGTGGTGGATGGCCGTCATTTTTTTGTATTCTCGCGCGCGAGGTGATTTTTCATCTCTGCTCTCTTGGCGTTGATACGCGACCGAGAGCGACCCACGTATACATACGTATGTCTGCCTGTCTGACTGTCTGTGTTTTGTAGCAGTCGTGGCTGCTGCGCCTTTTCATTTCTTATGTAAGGTCGGAGACAAGGCGACGAGCTTTTCGGCTGATTAATCATCGATTTTTCGCCCACCGCAACAAAATGAATTATTGAAACGAGCTTGCGAATTGTAAAAGTCGTCAATGACGCGCGGGGCACCTTAATATAGATACAAACGCGTAAATGGAAAAAACGTAATGACACTCTAATCCATTCTAAACTCCTTTAGACTTTCTGGCCGATTAACTCTAAAAGCTTAAAGTGCACACACAAGCCGACGCTGCTGGCGGCGGCGGCACGAAGGGAGGGGAGCGATGCGTTGAATTTTCTAATACGTGCTTCTGCTAATCTCGTGCTGCTGCTAGATAGTCTACGGCGCGCGGCTCGAAACGTTGTGTATACAGCACACACACACACACACACGTACGAGAGAAAAGTTGCCCGAGAGAAAAAGTACATAAGCGTGCACAGAAGCGGTATATTTCAGTTTTCATATTACAGGTACATACACATACACATAGTTGGTGCAGTATAGGACGAGCCATCGTCGTCGCAGCAGGTTTAGAGTCGCTATATATAGGTCGGTGCTATATGTACGTATATATGTATGTATCTACGTACGTGCAAGTACGATATAACGTTGACACGGGCTTCGCCTGGCGGCGGATCAGCCGAGAAAACGAGGAAAACCCGCCAAGCCGTAGGGGATTAGCAGCAGCAGCAACGAAAGATTCCCGTCGTGTGCCCCGCGCGCGCGCGCTCACGTCGTCCTATATCTACGTGTTTCTGACTTTTAAAGAATCTTACGCGACGAGCTGGCCGTGTTGCTGCTGCAAGCCGAGCGAGCGCGGAAGAAAATTCGAAAGAAGAAGAAAGAGGCAAACAAAAAAATAAGGTTCCAACTATAGTTGCAACAGTTTCGCCTCGCAAGAAACAAGTTAAATCTAAATGATTACCCCCATACAGGGTATATAATATAGATGGATATTTACGCTCTCGCTATGTACCAGTGTACACGGTATGTATAGAGAAGAGCTTCGGGGCGCGATGCACATTTTAATCCTCGCGGATCCGAGAGAAGGGTAGTTGCGTGCAGGAGCTGAGAGAGAGAGAGAGAGAGAGAGAGAGAGAAACTCTTCAGACATTCCAGCGGGTATAATACACAAGAGCGAACGTGAGGATGAGCGGGGGAGGGAGGGAGGTTACATTCTAAGGAAACCCGCCAGCAGCAACATCGAAACTAGAAGTCTCGAAGCGAAGGGAATTACAGAGAGAGAGAGCGGAGCAGAGCATAGCGTGTGTATAGATATAACGCGCGTTATGGAGTCGGAATTTTGCGCGGCTCAAGGAAATCATCCTACCTCGTGCTGGCGCGCGAGTATTGCTCGATTAAACGAGCTGCCGAGCTACTGTATGTGTGTGTGTGTGTGCCTCTACGCCGACTGACTTATAAGTTCCATCTCGAAAGACACTCGCTAATTTCGACCTGCACGCGTATACATACCTGTATGTATAGGAGCCTCGACTGTATGTCTGAAGCTCGTGCCGCGCGGGACCGAGTCTCGATTTCCATGTATTGCGAGATTGTAACGAGCTGCACGTGTTGCGGTTGCTCGAGCCGCGGACTCCGGGGCTCGTGACTTTAACACCTCGGCCGGGCGGTGGCATCTGCAGCTGGCCTTCATTTATCTCTCTACAACGACAAAAAAAATTCAATCTAGACCGAAGAAAAATTCATCATCGAGCCCCCTCCCTCGACCAGTCGCGATTTGATCCATTATAAAGTGGGTGCGTGGGATCGAACGTGTGCATATTTTGGCGGATCTGTCCCCGCGCGCGCGCAGTCAAATTACCGCCTCCTGTGCGCATGCTGTATAGTAAAAATATCAATTAGACCCCAAATGTTACACGCATAGGCTCATCCCCCGGCGCTGCTGCTGCTGCAGCGGAAACTGATTTTTTGTCCAGCCAATATATATAAAACGCATACACACTCATACTACTGAGCGAGATGCGATGATTGATGAGAATTGAGCGTGGGCAGCAGCAGCAGCTAACTGACACGGCACTGCTCTCCTCTGGCAATTTGTCATTTTCATACATACATCCATACATAGGCCCCCGAAGAGGCAGCGCAGCAGTTGATACGTTTGCGCAAAGCGACAGCAGCAGCAGCCGCACGGCGACGTCGGTGGCAGTTCATGCAAAAAAAAATGAACGTACACTGCGTAAAAGTTTGCCTCTCGTCATTATCGTCGATACACTTAAATATATATTTATATGCGCCGAGGGCACGCACAAAGAAATCATGAGCTTTCAGAATTTCCGTAATAAATGAATTTGATAAGTGTACATTACAGCCGCCGTGTTGTTATACGATGAGACGCACTGTATACAGAGAAGCCGCGACGACGACGAGAGAGAGACTGATGATACCCGATCGATCTCATCATCATCAAGAACCGCATGTATGCGAGTACCCGCGCATTATGTGCTTGCACAATACACAACCGCACGCGGCTCGCGATCTTGTCTTTCTCTTTTTCGCCGATATGCGAGCGTGTGTGTGTGTACGTGAGATGGTAGATGTTTCTCTATCGGCACTGTATACATGCTCGACTCTCGCCGTCTTGGCGTTTTACTTTCACGCGATACGATTGTTGGATCGCTATGTTTTTGCGCATCGATAGAGACGTCGCATAGTGCGATCGTCGACGTTTCTCTTTTGCACAATGACACCACACGAGATCATCGATTATTACATTTATATATATATCATACGAACGTACCCATGCGCTCCAGTGATCGATCGACGAGATGGCGATGAACAATCGCTA